TTTAACAAATTTACGAAGAAAAAAAAACAATTGCATTGTTCAATCGAAACACCTAATCCGTTTCCTTAGCGTCTGAAAAGGAGCTCTTTATTTTCGATCGACACCCCTCATTCGGACCTCTCAATCAACCCGTGTTCGGGTCCTCACACCGACACGTGTGAAGTTTACAGACTACGGCTGTTTGAAAGGTTTTCATCCATAAAATTAATCGATTCTAGACTAATTCGACTCAACATTTCCAAAACACGTTTAATTTTTTGGGAATAATTCATATAAACTATGCTATAAACAAAAAATTGTAGGATTATTTACCAAGTGTGCACCGTTTGACGTCGCCATTGCTTGTTTTCTTTGCAGAGCAGTGCACCAAACGGCGGCCGCGATTTCTGATAAGTTATTTTTCTGTAAAAAATTCTTTGACCTTTGGAGACATCATTAATATAAATAATTTTTATGGCCATTGAATAAGAAATGTTTCTTTCACAAGAAATGTATAAAATTACAGTGCTGTATTAGACTTACGGTACCTAATTTACATACTGTACAGACGATAGTAAACTCAACTTACTCGCCTAACTCTCCGTAGCATGGGCTGGAGAGCGGAAAGTATATATATAATTATAATAATGTTAAAATAAATTAAGTTAATATATAATTATATATACAGTACCTAATTTATATATAATACTGTACAGACGATAGTAAACTCCACTTACTCGCCTAAACTCTGTAGCATGTAAGTTGTAGCGTGTAAGTAGTTCGGCTGCTCGTCTACTATTGGTCCAGATTCAACCAATCCTGTCAGGGACGTCGTCACCGACACGAGTCAGTGACGACGTTTTACGAGTCCCTTTTAGCGTCTTTATATGAATTCTGTCACAATTTTTTTGCCACGTTATAGGAATCTCCATTATAGGAACCTGCGTTATAGGGGGTCTACTGTAATTTGTCACAATTACTTACAGCAGAACATTTTTGCCTATTCTTCTTCATACATGTTGACAATATATTATGGGTCAGAATTGCCCATAATGAGCAAAAATAAAGGCTAGCTGTATAATACATTGATGTTTCATATAAGCAAACATTGCTGACATAATAACTAGTTAAAGGTGATTATGTTGGAAGAGAAAATTGGATATATTTGATAATAGGAGGAAAAACAAACAGATCTGGATTTGGTTACTAGATGTTTTTATAGTCATAATTCATCTTCTGTTAGTGTCTTCTATTCTTTTGCTGTTTTGCCACATTTTGTAATGTGTGATCTCTAAACACAACATCAGAAAGTTGTTATTCTAAGTTGTAAGTAGTTTTTTTTATCTTTAGTGTATGCTATAGAGTTCAATAGAGATTTAACATTTGCCATATGATCTATCATTGTCCAATTTTTGATCAACATACACTTACTCTAAAATTAGAAATCTTTATGCTTGGTTTCAGGTGGCCATGTCCACTTGATAAGCTTGTTAAGAAGCCACTGTTTGATGCTTTTTACAATTATGTTCAAAAAACATGGAAGAAAAGACAATTTATAATTTCTAGTATCTAGTTTTACATTTTAGTTTTCACTAAAAGCTGAATACTAATTCTATGTTTACTTTGTATCATGTATTTTGGTTTATGTATTATTAGTGTTATACACCCATAGGAGTGGTACACTTATTCTAATAAAAAAAAAGAGAGAGAGAGAGAGAAACCACCACACAGCCTTTCTCCCATTGAAAAAAAAACGTGTAGAGCATGAGTCTGCTAGCGTTATTATTTTATCACGTCACATGAGATGGCTTTAATACAAAGAGTGTTCTTAATAGAAACGGCCAAATTGAAGCCAAATTCAAAACTCCACCACTCGATGAGATCAAAAAATAAAAATGAGAATATTACGTAAGATGAGATCTATTACCCCCTACCTCTGAGTCAGAAATCGTAAGAAATCCTTGACCCGCACCCACTCACCCCAAAATACCTTATGTAATTTATGGACAACCCCTTTTGGGAAAAAACCCTATCTCTGAGACAGCACCCTCTAAAAGTTAATAGTATTACTATTGAATTTACTTCTATTTAGTCTTAATTGAATGAAGAACTTATAATGACAAAAACAAAATTCATAGGCATAAATCCATTACTATATGAGTATCCTGAGATTAGATATATCACATAAGTCTTTGTCAGGTTATACAGTATTCCTCTTTAGTTTGTTGATATAGATAGGATTCAAAAGTATTTGGATCAGTTATGAACTTGATATAATAACCTCAGTATTTTAGTTGGTAATTTTTCTTACAATTTCCTAAATGAGGAAAAACACTCATTCAGAGTATTGGCAAGAAATAGCATAGACCGAGTCTGTTTCCTTGAATTTGACTTTTAAAATAACTATTGTTTCTTCAATCTAATTGTAATTACTCTATAATATCGATCAATTCTTTCTCAAAAACCACTCAATTGAATTACTTTATCTAGATTCACATCATATGTATATTTTACGTTGTCTTTTATATAATAAACATCTCTTATAATAATTCTATTTCCATTAAGTTTTTCTTGTTTTACTATTGCTAATAATTTTTTCTCCTCAATCTGGATCTCATACATAAATCTGAATAATACTTCAGATTTATGTATGTTTTTTCCTTCTTCTTATTACTGAAATCACCTTTCTTTTCTCAGAATTCTTTAATAATCAAATTTCTATTGTTAATGATATTTTCACTATAGGTTTGGTTTCACTGTTGGATAGTCTAACCAAACTTTCTATATAACTATTAGTTATTTGCAAGTCCTTTTTTATGAAATAATTAATTTTCCTTTTCATAATCAGTTGAATTAAAAGGAAAATTTATAATTATTATATTTTTATTATTTCTCATGTTAACTAGTTTGTCTATTTCATATTCCAACATACCTTTTAATTGGGAGTTATTCTTGGATGTTTCCTCTAATTCTTCTACCTTTTGAGAAAGTTTTGTCAACTCTCCATGAAAATGTTTATTTTCCTCTTTTAGAGCATTGACCTCTGTTTTAATTTCTTGTAGTTCAATATGAAGCTGTAGGATAGCTCATAAATCGATTTTAAAGTATATTGCGACACTTCCTGTGCCTATGCTCAGCATCACTTGATGCTTCAAAGTAATCATAAATTTTTGTAGCTCTCAAGGTCACAGGACTACTTTTGTTAAAAACNAAAAACGCAAAAACCTGCATCTAAAATAGTATCATAGAAGCCAAGTTCTTCACGGTAAGCCTTAATCCTGTCTCTCTCCCCTGCGGGGGGAATATCGAAAAATTTCTTCTTAGTGTACATTCTGTTGACATACCCTATTAAAACGCAATCAAAAATGCAAAAACCTGCATCTAAAATAGTATAAATAGAAGCAGAGTTCTTTACCTTAAGCCTTAATCCTAACCATCTCCCTTCAGTGGTGTTGAATTTCGACATGTATATTATATAAAAACACATGTATATTCAAATGCAGCGTTGTGTCAAAATTTTAAAGGAATCGGTAGGAACAAACGAACATTACATTTTTATTTATATAGATAGATAGAAGATGATCTGCTTTAGTTCATTTTCACAGAAAAATAAACTTAGGGCGTCGTACTCGTAGTGCCATCTGTTGGACATAAAAGCCTTAACCTAGATTATATCTTTTAATTTATATGAATGTTTAACAGAAAATTATACAACCTATGTCCACCCTGAAGTTCCATTCTAAATATTGGTGAAAGAATTTTTGAAATCGGATGAGTAGTTTCGGAGATTACCTGCTGCATACAAACTTAATTACTTACTTACAAACATTACCTCTTTATAATATTAGTATAGATTAGCTCCTAAATCAATTTTAAAGTATATTGCAGCACTTCCTGATCTGTGACTCAGTATCTCTTGATGCTTCAAAGTAATCATAAATTTTCGTAGCTCTCGAGGTCACAGGACTACTGTACTTTTATTAAAAACTTTCTCTAATTGATAATAATCTTCACTAGTTGTATCACTCAATTGTCTTTCCTTTCCCTTGAGATTATTCTTGTCAAGTCTTCCTTGCATATCTTCTTGGCACATCTGTTATGGAGATTGAGGCAAAGGACTTGGATTGGGCTCAATCCTGGCAATTATTAATAAACACACAATCAAAACCCAAGATAATCTATTAATAAATGTCCAATACTTTAGATCTGGCATAATTCGACTTCTTATGGCTTTCCAATTCACTCAAAAACTCAATTATCAAGCCTCATCAAAAGTTCACCTATACCTCCATAAGCTAGCACACACCCCCAAATTACATAATTAGTGAAACTATTACAATAGTATTTATTAGCAGTTATTTTCAACAAATCAGTTTTCCACTAACATAAATTGTTATTAAATTATGTCTGCTCATCTCAAGGACATCTGGCAGAACTAAACAGCCAAAATTGTTAAATATTCATAATTGTTATAACAATATTCATAATATATTAATTAATAATTTAAATTAATATTCATAACAATGGCTATTATGAATATTATTTAACAATTTTAAATATTTTATGTTACTATAAACATCCTTTCAGAAATTTAAGTTGAAAATAATGACATTGAACACGATTCTAAATCAAGGTTTTAGCTGTTTCATTTTGTCAACAAAAGAATGGAATAAATTTTTAAATGAAATAATGATAAAAAAATGAATTTAGATTAAAAAATATGCAAATTAATTGATGAAACCATAAATCTTAATTCTTTTAATATTATGACAGGAACAATGGGGCAAGAATGTTTCTTTGTATAAAATTCTTCCTTAAAAAAAATCAAATAATAAAATTTTGATTGAAACATCCAATTGAATAAAATCAAATCCAGGATATCAGTTTTTTAAAACTGTCATTGACATATCAAAATCACTTACTTGCAATGATTATCTAATATTTTTTGAAGTCATATAATGAAATATATCTTTTGGACAATTTAAAACTAAATATTGAAAGTTTTACAAATGAAAACAAAATAATGTCTCAATTATGATAGATATATACTGATTGTGTGGTGTTTATTAAAGCAAAAATTATGTAAAAATTTAGGTATTATTATTTATGCATTTACAGTCATTTTAGATTGGTAATTTTTGTTGTGTGTTCATGTTTATATACAGTATATATGCTACACTACACTTTATTAAATTCCTGTTTATTTTTAATTTATTCATTTAAAAAAATGACTTTTTCAGGCATCAGATAACAAAGGTAAAAAACAGAAAAGAAATAAGGTGGATTGTTTAGCAGAAAAAGTAAACCATTAATCTTTTTATATAAATCAATACATTGTAAATAAAATTATAAATTATTAAATGTTATGTTTTCAGGCAAAAGTTTTGAGAGAGACAAAAATAATTCCTCAGCTAATCTTTGCTATAGAACAATATGAACGTCATTTAATCCAACTGTCTAAGAAATCAAAAGTATGTATCTTAATTATTTATTTTGAAAAGTTTTTTTGATAAAAAATAATTTGTAATAACATTTTATAAAGGTTAATTTGATGGAGCACATTAAATTAGCCACTTCTCGTGATTTTCGTATTAATATCGAAACGGTACAAGCTGCACTAGAAAATGAATCTCAGAGCGACAATTCTGAGGTAACTATCTTTATTTAACATATTTTGAGTATAAATTATAAATACAAATACATTCTTCTGCATTTACAGGATTTAGAAAATACAGATCCCGACAAACAGACTGGAGAAAATTGTTCTTCGGAATCGGCATCATCAAAAAATAAGAGAAAGAAAACTACAAAAAAAGTAGTAATATTCTGAAAACATTTATTGTAATATTTTTTTACAAATGAGTACAGTTATAAATGTTGGCTTGGAAAAAATGTTTTCCCCAATACAAAATATTGTGCCTTTAAATATATTTTTCTTACAAAAAATTTGTTCCTATTATTTCTAATTACTTCTGGAAGCAAGAATATTAATATGTATTCAAGTATGTTCACAGAAGAATAAAATTTTGATTGTATAACATTAAATATTTATACCTGTATAAATAATTTATGAAAGTGCAAAATGTTCTTTGGTTTTAAAACCAGACTAGTAAGAAAATATTTGGTTGTATTTTGTAAGATAACAAAGAAAGTCGTTCTCTAGCCTATTCCTTTACTAACTCTTAAGTATGTTTAAAAAATAACTGTGAGCCTTTCTTGCTATACTGAACCAAACTTAAATGTTTTCAAATTTCAGTAATCTTGGATGAAAATAATTGGCACTGCTTTAAAAGTTAATAGCTTGGTATTTCAAAATAAGTACGATATTTTTACAGTATAAAGTCTTTACATGTATATAAATTTGATAAATGTTTTTTTATAACATTATAAAATTTTAAAACATAAATTGTAATATAAATATAAAAATACATTATATAAAATTTATAAATTGCTCTTTTTATCTGGATTACACATGTAACAATGGAATGATGACTAGTGGCACAATAATGATGTTGGACTTTAAACCCACAGAGACTTTTGGGCTTCGATTTGGGCAAGCAAAGTTCTGCATAGATATGTTGCAAACAGCTGAAAAATAAAATTTTTTTATGAACTTGTTAAATGTGAAACAAAAAGTAAATTCAATTACTAAATACCTGTAGCAAAGAAACAATTAATATAATTCCTCCAATCACATATGAATTTCCAAATACAAAATTTTGAATGGCTTGAACACATCCTGTAGTAAATATGAAATCTTCCAACTTTGAAACTGCCTAAAATTTTTAAATAATTTTTTAACAAACAATTTTCTCCTGTTATAATTTATTCTGCCACTTTTAAATCATCTTAATGGAACAAATTGACACTCTTCAACAGAAATGACTTATACGAGTAATTTTAAATTTCCCCAATTTACAATTCAAGTAAATCAATTTAATTCCAATACATTGTTTTATGAAACTGATTCAAAATTAATAGAGAGTTTCTTTAGGCAAAATTACTGTCATATTTTTTTTAAGAATTATTAAACATTCTGAAGTACTGAAGATTGAGAAGTTACTTTATTATGAACATAACTTGATTATAAAATTTAAATGTAGCAGTAAGAGAATGATCATTACTACTTTACTAGCTTATTTTAAATCATTTATATACTTACATGTTCATTTTGCATTTGATAGCCACACATAAAGTTGATCAAATTAGTCTAATTAAATAGAAATACATAAGATATGGGGTAGTATTATATGCATTAAAAAATAAGTAATTGTAATCAGACATACTTCTATGTTATATGGATTTTTACAACAGGAATATGGAACGGCACATCTCTGAGGACTGGGATTTGAATCTGAACAATTGAAATAGATATTCCATGACCAATCCTTATAACTCTTATCTGATATTCCACAGCATTTAAACTAAAAAAACCCATATTTCTTAGAATAAAAATTAAAAGTTTTTAAAAGCTTAAAAACAGAAACGATCCTTACCTCTTTCTGAAGAGTGTCAATGAAATTCTGTAAATTATCGTCGTCTCGATATTTCTCAATCAATTCTTTAGACATCCCTTTTTTGACTAAGCTTGTCAATTTATTTGGAAATACAAATACCAAAATTCCTAAGGCAACTTCTCCAAGAAATAAAATCAACAAACAACCTGAATACTGTAAAAATAAAAAGAAACTATATTGCCAGAGTAGGTTTTTTTATAGTAAAAAAAAAACTTACAAATCGCAGTAGACAACAATTTTCTCGCAAGGCACCAAGACATCCAGTAAAACAAATGATGAAAACTATTGCACCCAGAGTCATTAAAACAATGGATATTTGAAAAATAAAGTCGAATACATTGTTAATGTCTGGAAGTGCTCCTTTATACTTGTATTCTTCTAGAAAAGACCAGATACCAATACCAAAAATAATTCCACCTATAACCTGTAAAAGCATTGAAAATCATAATTAAGCATTTTCTCTATACTCTAGAACAGTGTTTCTCAATGGGGGAGATATCGCCCCATGTGGGCATTTTTCCATGTTAAGGGGGCAATTAGTAACAATTTATATTTTGGGGGCAAAAAAAATTTTCTGGGCGATATAGTAAAACATTATATTAAGAATAATTAGATATTTTATTCGTTATATCATACAATAATTAAACAAATAACATTATACTAGTCACTAGTCTATTCAATGAAGTATGAATTTGGCGTTAGCCTTGGCCCTCAGCATCGGAATTTTGAAGTGAAGGGGCGATACTACGTTGAAGGGGGCTACAATTCGTTAGAGGTTGAGAAACACTGCTCTAGAACCTGTAAATGGTGTGTAATGTGTATATATGTTACTGTGAAAGACCAATATTTGTGAATGTTCATTCACCGGCAAATGTCGACACACACAACTGTGTGAATGTTGACATTCCCCCCATTTCGGTCATTCACAGTAACATATATATTATATATCATGGTTGACAAACGTTTTTGAACATTCATGCTGTTCAGGTCAACCGGTTAAGGAATTTCGCTGTCAACTGCGATATATAATATATATATGCATTATGCACTGTTTACAGGTTCTAGAGAGTATAGATTTCGCCCACAGTGCTGAGTTGGAATGGACTCTGTGTTTAAGCATTTTCTTTTAATAAGAATGAGAACTGCTTGATCATCAGGGCCCCAATAATACATACAAATTTAATTATCATCACATTATATATATAAATGTGTTACTTATTAATAGTATAATATATGAATTAAACATTTAAAATATTTAATCATACTATTCTATACATAATAAAAGCATATCATTATGAAATTATAAGTATTATCATCATATTAAATATATAATAAAAAGTACATGGCATTATATTAATTTTCATTACTTTAGTTTATGGTCAATAATTTAATACAAAGGCCTATAACATTTTGTAACAAAATTACTTAATAATAAATTTGAGAATTAAGAAAGTAGTACATTAGATATTATAAGAGTATTACAAAACATTGTTTTGCATTAATATATAACCCAAATAAAAATTTTGTTTTGAAACTCGTTGGACCCGAGAAAATAAATTATAGAAAAACATTAACATACCCTTCATTTCTATCCCTATTTATGGACAAAATCATTATCGTCTTTGAAACTTGAACTAGCTATTTACTGAACCAAAAATTTTACTAATAAAATTAAAAATATTACTGTTTAAAATGTTATCAAATGATGCAGAAACAAAGAGTAGCAGATTAATAGGTCAATGTTCTTTAATGCGATTCATGCTGTTTCTGTTTATTTCATAGAGCTTTGTGTTATAACTTATTACCTTTCGGTCAGTAAAAGTTAAAAGAAAAACATATTTTTCTTTTAACTTTATAAATATTAATGTTTAAAATGTTATCAAATGATGCAGAAACAAAGAGTAGCAGATTAATAGGTCAATGTTCTTTAATGCGATTCATGCTGTTTCTGTTTATTTCATAGAGCTTTGTGTTATAACTTATTACCTTTCGGTCAGTAAAAGTTAAAAGAAAAACATATTTTTCTTTTAACTTTATAAATATTAATTTTACATAAATTATAGATAATTTTAATTAAAATTAAATAATATATTTGTTGTAAATAGTAGGATTTTTATTTTTTTGGAGAATAACCTAATTAATAATTTTTTTAAACAAATAAAAGATTATTTTCTTTTGAAAGAATTATCTTTACTTAATATTTGTTTTTAAAATTTTAAATTATTTACTAAAATTTGTCTTTTGGATTTCAAAATATCTTGAAAGTGTAAAATTGTTTTACATATTTTCATAAAATTTCTTAAAAAGTTGCAAAACATAAATAAATTTGAATTGAAAATAAAGATTCATTTTTTATTACTTGATGACTGAATGAAAATTTTACAAAATACTAAAATCAAGAAATTAATGTAATGCATTACATATTTGAGTTGTTGGATGAAGAGACTCACGGAAACCATTTGAGTTATAGAAGGTTCACTTTGACCAGATTACACTATATATTTTACTACATCAGCATGGTATAGAAAATTTCAATATATTTTTAAACTTTATGTTTCTTTATCATTATATCATACAAGCAACCTTGTTTTAAATCAGTTATATTTTTAATAATATAGAACAGTTTTTGTGTAATTTAAAATTAATAATATATTAGATGGGCGATATCTCTTAGGAATTTTATAATTTACCATTTCACTTCAGATGATTTCTATTACAACTTTTGTTAAATAAGTATAGTATAGTATTTGTATAGAAAAGTATTCCCGTTTTGCTACATAGGATCCAGCTTCAAATCAGATTAGATCATTACAATTTTACATTATAGTTTTGATCGCCACTCCTCGTTTCTTATTTACAAAGATGAAACGTAACATAGATCGGAACCGCCTCCGATCGGTAAGAACAGAACGTATCTCGTGCACGCGCGTACGCCAGGCATTTACAAAACCGCTCAGATCTACAAATTTGTTCAAAAAGTTTACAATTCATATAAACGAAACATATGATTTGTATTTTGAAAATGGTGTCAAGTTTCTAGAAACCAATTACACTTCTGTCTCAGTAGTTAAAAAGTATTAGTCGATCACACCGAATCAAAGACATTTTTCAAAATGGAATGAATAAATCTTGTAGTAATTTATCTTTTACCAATTAACTTTTATTGATTGAATAATATAGTATGATGATTTAAAATAAAATAATTTAATAAAGCACCGTAGACAGGCACAAGTTTTTGAGTAATTTGTAAGTGTATAGAATGACCTAAAGGTAAGATTTACCAAAAAGTGTCCTATTATTTTCTTTGCCTAAGGCCATGTTACTTTATAAGTGGAAATCGTGTCGTGCCATAGTTTCTTACGGTTTAATAAAATACTGTAAAATTTCATTTTCCCGTTTTAAATTTCAAAGAATTAAAACGTAATGTTTGGCGTGTAATGCATAAGAACGTTACTTACCCAAAATAATAAGTTTAAGAAGAATAAAGTGTATTTAATGCAGGGATTGATGTAAGTGAAATCGGGATCCACTCTTGGCATAATTCAAATAAGTATAAACTATCTAAACTGAAAATTAGGCATAAAGATCAAAAAATAAAATCTTTTCCTGTCAACTACATCCGCTTCGTAAACAACCACTAAGCCCTCTGGCGGTAGGTATTTGTATTTTCTCCTTCTTGTAATGGCTCTGTCCTAAAAGGCTATAGCCGTTAACGTATTAAATTTAATGATAACAATAAACTGTAAACGTATCTAATGTCGACTGTTAATAATAACAATTCAAAATTTTAATCGGGATATTTTTATACTTTTTACGTTGGTAGACTCTAATAGTTTTTTTTTTTTTTTTTTTTTTTTAACAAGAGCTTAGCCAAGCCCACAATTAAATGGTTGAACGCTGAAGGTGAAGAAAATTCTCGAGGATCGGATTCGGATTGAACTGGGGCGCTAAGTAAACAAGCTAATGACGTAGTTCGTTTCGTATGAAATAGAGGTGGGTAGTTGCAGTCGGAATCGTTTCAAATGAACTGTTCCAGACTCGGAACTACAGTAGAGCGTCGTTTATCCGAAAGAATTCCAGTAGGCAAATTTAAATTTTTCCTAGTGCTGTGGCGCTGCAATCTTTGGCTATATCTTGGCCTACTCCAATATTTTTTTGTTGATGCGTGTTTTTTAGCTGGCAGCACTGGCACTTTTGTGTGGTGTTTTTCTCAGAACTGTGTGTCATGCTAAATCGAACGTTTTTGATACTAGATTAACTTCTAAAGTATAATTTTTTTTGTTTTTATATTTTTCAATATATTTATTTTGTTTGTAAAAAATAAAAAAATAATTTTTAACAATACAATAGCCACGATTATTATTTTAAAAAGTTTACATTAGGCTTAACATCGACGAAAATTCAACGCGAAGCGACACGCAACGGAGAAAAATTTCAACATGGGATAGGTTATGTTTTTTCGTACGTAATCGGTTATCCGAAAAATAAGTTATCCGAACAACCCCAGTCCCCAATTGATTCGGATAAACGACGCTCTA